GTATAGCGTGCGTAATTATACTGAAACATAAATATATAACCAGTTTACCTGATTCAATGTGATGGCTGAGCCTGTTTCTGAGATAACAACATGCCAATCCGTGGTTGGATTTCCGACACGGCTAATCGGAAATCATTTTACACCGTCAATAAGGTCTGCCATCTAGTGGTAGGGAATACAAATGAGATATTACACCATATTAGGAACTACAGTCTATTTGATTAAGTATGACGTCTTGTCGCAATTTTGCGACTTTGGCGCTAAGAGGGTTAACTGAATTAACTAATGCTCGCGCCACCCTTGACAGGTGAAAACCCCTGGCCTAGTGGGCAGTGCACTGACTTATAACGCCGTTGAGTTGTGGGCGTCCCGAGTTCGAATCCCGGACGTTTGAATCCCGATCCCACTTCCCTCTCTCTCCCACCTTGTTTCCTGTCTACTCTACACTATGTTATCCTAATAGGCCTAAACGGCAAAATGGCAATAACAAAAGAATGATATGTGTATGAATTGTGAGTCTGAACTATCCGTTTTATAATATTATCTTTACTGATATTAGCTCTACAAACTGGTTTACTTCCAAAAGTATGTGAAAAAAATCTGTAAAATAGTTATGTTTAATAATAATAATAATAATAATAATATATTTAATAAATATTTACATTTAATTTTTATATTTCAATGTTTATTATTATTATTATTATTATTATTATGCTAAAGTACCTTTTATGTCATTTCATTTCAATTTTGTTTACACAATTTAGAAATAGAAATTCAATAAAGTAAATCACAAGTATTAATATTAATCATCATCATAATCATAGTCATCATTATCAATTGTTTACGAAATAGTAATAAATAGTTTGATGATGATGATGATGATGATGATAAGACATAAAAGTAATACATAGTTTGATAATGATTATTATTAGTATTATATTGGGATAAAGTACCTTTTGATTTGAAGTATTTTAATCTAAATTTAATATTTTACATAATTTAATTAAATATGATTTCAAGTAAATACGTATATTATTATTATTATTATTATTACTTAAAACATTAAACAAACAAATAAGTAAATACGTAAGTAAATAAATAAATAAATAAATACCTTCCTTGTTTAAAAAATCATCAGTGAAAGATTTTTTGTCATACTTTCATTACATGGTCACTAAAGTCTAAAGAACTGATAAAAGGTCAATAAAATGACCTTTTAGAATCCCCTCCAAACAAATAGTTCAAATAATTTGTTGACCTATGCAAAGATATTCAGCTATTTGTACTATCTTAAAATGATCACGCGTCCTAGAGGAGGCTCTTGGTTGAATTTTTCATAGGAGTGAATAAATCATCCTTATCTGATGTCGAGTCATCTATACATCTGTGACGTGAGAAACTCTTTGGTCTCTTGGTAAACATTCATTTGTATGCAGTGCTGAGTTGTGCATGCTGTTGGGGCCAGTTTGTCGCTTTCCGACCACGAGGACCGTTTCTGTGCCAGAATCCTCGTGCGGAGTGCTGCGGATGACCTCCCCCTCTCTTATTCCGCTGTCAGTATGTGTTAGTATAAAGAGAAATATCATACTGCGGCCCATTCATTCAGCTCTTGCTCACAGTGCCTCGGTTTAATTGCGCTGTTGTTACTGCAAGCATTCAGTGCTGGCACAATATTTTGCAGAATAGAAAAATAATGGGTATGAGTGGATCGATTAAATCTTAAACGGCCTTGACTTTTGATTTCATTTACGTCAGATAGTAGATTCTGGTTTAAAACTGCTCTGTTCTTGCCCCCCACCCCCACCAGAAAACTCTTTTTCACGGATTATGGGACGGTAGCCAAGGTGGAACGCTGCAATATGGACGGCACCAACCGAACCAGGATAGTAGAGTATAAAACTGAACAGCCGACCGCCGTGACATTGGACTTGGTGAAGAAGCTCGTCTACTGGGCAGACGCTTATCTGGATTTTATCGAAGTTGTGGATTACAATGGCAAGAACAGACACACAATCATCCAAGGAAGCTCGGTAAGATGTGCTCAATCTTGGTTTCTTCTTCTTGAACCCATGATCTTTATGAGAAAAAAGACCAAAGCTACTTACGAAATTGCATACCTGTGTAGTAGGTACTACATTTAGTTTGAAAAAGTATGTAGTATGAAGCATGTAAAAATACTTAGTCTGAAAATAGGTAGTATGAATGAAATTCGAACATACTATGTTTGCCATGTTGTCACCATCAAGTGACCTACCAGTTACATTGCTTCACTGCCATTTACTCCTCTCCCATGGCTTCATTGGATAGTAGAGTGTCCATTGAATGCGCAATCTAGAATCTCTGCAGAAGTAGTAGGTCATCTGGGTAATTTTCATCTACATTTTTTTAAATATTAGTTTTCACATTTCTGACATACTACACTTGGCATACTTTTTTCAAATACTATCATTTTGAACACACTACTTTTTTGGCCCACTGTTTTTTGAAAACTATGAACATTGGCATACTGTTAATATTGGCATGCATACTACTTTTTTGGCTTACATTTTGTTTTAATAATATGAATTCGGCCATACTTTTTTTTGGCATACTATTTTTTCATTACTATGAATTCGGACATGCTGTTCTTTTGGCGTGCAAGGCGAATTCAGACTTACTGTACTCGGCTTACTGTTTTTCAAATACTGTGAATTCAGACATACTACTTTTTTGGCACACTGTTTTTGGAAAACTACGAATATTGGCATACAGTTAATATTGACGTACATACTACTCTTTTGTCTTACTTTTTTAAGTAACGAATTCGGACATACTACCTTTTTGGTGTACTATGTTTTTGAATACTATGAATTTGGACTTGCTGCTCTTTTGGGGTACTAGGTAAATTCGGACTATAGCCTACTTTGCATGATCTTTTTTTTTCTTTTTTCAAATACTATGAATTTGGACATACAACTTTTTTGGCACACTGTTTTTCAAAAACTATGAATTTTGGCGTACATTTTTCTCTTTTGGCTTACTTTTTTATAACGAATTCGGAAACTACTTTTTTGGCATACTACTTTTGAATACTATGAGTTTGGACTACTTTTTTTGTGTTTTTTTTTTTTCTTTTGAATAATCGTAATTTGGACATACAATTTTTCAAATACTGTGAATTCGGACACACTATACTTAAGCTTTTACATACTACTTTTTTGGCATACTATTTTTCAAATACTATAAATTCAAACATACTGCTTTTATGGCACACTGTTTTTCGCAAACTATGAATATTGGCTTACTGTTAATATTGCCGTACATACTACTGTTTTGGCATACTGTTTTTCACATAATTCGGACATACTAAACTTTTTGTGTGCTGAGTTTTGCATAACATATAGCATGGAATTAGGCATATTCTGACACAACACAAGATGTGTTGCCGTTTGCATGTGAATCCCCAACTACAGTAGGTGGTGAACATCTTGTTTATGCTGGTCCAGACCAGCATATGAAAGTCTAGACCGGCAAAGATTGGTGACCTCTATTCATCTAAACTATCTAAAAGAAGTTATTGCGTATATTTTACCCAGCTGCCTTAATAGTCAGCAGTAAAGCTGTGATAAATTATGCTCCTTTGAATAACTCTTAAAGCAGTTTATTTTGAAGGCTATAAAGTTTGGCCTCTCTCCCTCACTCCCCGAACAGGCCCAAAAGTATGGTGATACAAAATTCATAGCTTCATAAATTCAGTATAAATTTCATCCATAGTTCATAGTACGGGCCAAGGGCACTGTCAAACCTGTGCATTTTTCTCAAAAACAGTAGATAATTCATCCACAGTTGTTTATCAGCCTTATGAGACATCTGGTGTTAACTAATACCCTGATGCAATATTTAAGTAAAGAGTTTTACAAATTCCTTCTATCCTTTTTGGAAAGTGCCTGTGTGCAGGTGTTCATGGTTTACATGATTTGTGTGTATATATACAGTATATATATATATTTATTATTTTTTTTTACGTTTTTCATGCTAAGTATCAACATCCAGTCAATGTACTGCTTAGTTTAAGTGTTCAAAGTTTTCACAGTGGTTTTACTGACAAAAGTTCCTATGTTGTTTTGAATTTGAATGCAGTAGTGGTGAACGTGAATTCAACAATCTTTGTTAGTAAAACAAAACTTTCCTGTCAACTGTATCCGTAACCCCCAATTTAGTCTCTCACAGTGAAACCTTTGATTGATCAACGTTAGTTCTGGTTCACATTGCATCTTATTCTAAGCTCAAAATAACATTTCAAGTTTATGATACTATGCAAAAAAGTCAAACCAAATTTTTGTAACATTTTGAAAAAAATGTGTGTACTTTGGTATGTTACAAAATATTTATATTTCAGGCTTTGTGGTACTCTCATGAATGGTGACAGACTGACACGGAAGAGAAAAAATCAATGAATGAAGTAGTTATTTTTTTGTTTATTCTCATGGCTTCATAAAATAAAAATATTAAAAGATTGAACCACTGATATCACATGGACTATGTCCTTACTACCTTTCTGGGTCTGGAACGTTTCAGTTCTGTTACTGTCTATGCAGGGTCAGAAAGCTCTCAAATTTCATCAGAAATATCTTAATTTGTCTTCCAAAGATGAACAAAGGTCTTACGGGTTTGGAACGACATGAGAGTGCGTGTATGGCAGAATTTTTATTTTTGGGTGAACTATCCCTTTTTTTAAAATCTGAAAAAAAAGTTAATGTATCATGAAAAAGAAAAATATTCCACAAACATATTAAGCAGCACAACTACTTTCAACATTGATAATAATAGAAAATGTTTCTTAAACAGCAAATCAGCAGATTTGATTTCTTAAAGATCATGTGACACTGAAGACTGGAGTAATGATGCTGAAAATTCAGCTTTGCATCACAGAAATACAATATATTCAAATAGAAAATACCTCTTTTAAATTGTAATAATATTTCACAATATTACATTTTTACTGTATTTTTAAGTAAATAAATGCAGTGGACATAAAGAAACTGTTCAAAAACAAATTTTATCAACTCCAAACTTTTGAATGGTAGTCACCACAAAGTAAATATTTTAAATATTTTATGCTACTAACCTGGCAAACAGTGTCAAATCCAGTAAGATTTTCTTGTCTGTAAAATAGTTCCAGAATCAACATCCTACTTGTGAAATCACAGGGAGCATGCACCCAAACTGTGGCCGTTTATGTAAATTTGTCACATGGATGCAGCATTAGGACTTGTTTTCCTTGACACTTTTGAAACCCTCTCATTGTCCCCAGCCAGATCCGTTAGCCTAGTTGAGCATCGAGTTGTTTTGACCTTGCAGAGTCCTGGCTTCCCACTACAACTCTTTTGTGTGCTTTTTTTATTGATTTGTTCATCCATTTCCTGTGAGGCTCAGCTGTAGCATATTCCCTGGGACTCTATCGAAGGCTATATTGGTGCATTTTTCTCAAAGCCGGCACTGAAAGATAACCTGAAATGAACTCCGCTACCTCTTACTCATTTGTGTTTACCGTCAGTCTTTCTCCTTTTTTTTTCTCCTGAAATCAAAGCCTCGACGCTACCCGCCGGTAATTTGTAGCACAGATGTGACATCAAAGATCCCTGCATATTTCAACTCGTGTCTGTCAGGGCTGCTGTTTATTCACCGAATGTTACATCGGCTCTATAGCTGGATGGATTAAAGAAGCAAATTTAAGCAGACGTATTTGTGTCGTGTTCAGAATTAAGTCAAAGAGGTGCCATGGCCTCTAGATGAGTCTTTCTCTTTCCCCATCCCTGTGTTTCTCTTTCTAGGTGTCGCACCTGTACGGATTTGCACTCTTTGAAGATTACCTGTTTGCGACATGCTCTGAACCCTCCAGAGAGAGCAAGGTGGACATATTTAGGATAAATCGCTTTAACAGCAGTGACACAAACACCATTACCACTTTGGAAAGTGCCAGAGCTGTCCGAGTTTATCACAGATTGGCTCAACCTACAGGTAAACTTGTTGTCGGAGTGTGACTAATGTAATCAGTAATGGCTCAGATTAAAAATAGTGATACACTTTAATGTTTTTGGACTGAATTCTACTTAAATGATCATATTAGATTCAGTTTCTGTAAGGCAAGAAATTAATACATTTCTGCATAAAATATTGTATTTTTATGCATGTTGTTACATTGCAACAATTTATATACAGATATAAATGGTTTCGTGACTGAGGCCTAATACAGACGAAACAAGCCAAAATGGCTCCCAATCTTACTTGCAAACTTGCTAAAAGGAGTCTACGCGTGTGTGTTTTCTTTTGGACGATGAAGATTTTTACCACGATTTCTGTAAAATCTACATTATCTAAGCTGATCAGTGCTAAACCCATTTTACTTCATAGTGAAATATAAAAGTAATTGTCAGGAAAAATGTCATGTTCTTAAGATGTTTTAAGGTGTTTGTATACTTTAATGAACTGACCCATCACAGTTTTTAAGGGTATTGATAGCAACATTTGCCATGCCAAAACATTGAAGAAACATTGGGCTAAATTCAGTATTAGCATTTAGCCATATTGTGAAGTGAATAATGACTGTCAAAATATCATAAAGTTGTAAAAAAAAAATATATATATATATATATAAAACCTGGCAACAGGGGTGCCCAACCTGGTCCTGGTCTAAGGACGAAGTAGACCCGACAGGGGAGAAACGCAAAGACAGGAGCTTAAATGCTAGGGATAATTGGAGAAACACAGGTGGATCACATATGACAATCATACTAAACGAGGACAGGAAAATGACCAAATAAGGACAAACTAGAACAGAAACAGGGGCAAAACACGATACAGACAGTCCAGAATCCTGACAATGCTAAAGCAACAGGGGTGCCCAACCTGGTCCTGGTCTAAGCACAACTGAACCAACTAATTAGGATCTGAAGGAGCACTTGATAATTACAGACAAGTTTGTTTAATCAGGGTTGAAACTGAACTCTGTAGGAAGGTAGATCTCCAGGAACAGAATGCACCCCTGATCTACAACAATACATCCGTTTCACTTTAAATACTTTTCAGCTACTATAACTTAAGTCTTTGGGAAAAACTGTTATTATACATCTGAAATGGATGCAGTCACCACATAACTAATGTCTATATTGTCAAAATGTACAGTAGTCAAAGGGATTTCAAATCAATGGATTTATTAAATACAAAATAGAAAACATTAAATTCAGGTTAATACAGCTACATATAGCCAAAAATGTAAATACACAAAAGTACAAAAAAAAGCAAACAAAGCAATGTAAAATTGTAGGATTTCGTCATGTGAAAGATGATGTGTGCGAAAGTCTTATCTGTAGTGCATCAATTTCCAAACACTGTCCGTAGCTGAAGTTGGCTGATAGCAAATTAATAATCCAACCTCTTGTAATGAAAACACGCCACAGCTCTCAAACACCAGACTCTTCCTAACCTCCCAACCAGGACACAGCACAATGTGTTCAGCAGGTGAGCCATGCTGGCTACTGCTGCTTGCTATTGCTAACTCCCTCTACCACATGGGTTTACTTAAGGAAACCTAACACACCCTAGCATCCCTAGTGGTAAGGAAGAAAACTGCCCACAAATTTCTTATTAACAGGCTCATGTCTGGCCCACACTGGGCCATCATGGGATTAATGTGGGCAGTCCCATAGTGTGGGCTGCTCACAGAGAGCCTGCAGTGAGCCCAAAGCTGTGGGCATCGCCTGGGCAAACCCGCACTGGGCCTGTTTAGGTATGGTGTGGGATGGCCCTAGCCCACTGTACCCGCAAAAAACCAGCATAGGCCCCGCAAGGACATGTTTGCAGGATATATATACACACACACAGTAGTCAACATTTGAAGTGGATCTAAAAAGTTCATCAAAGTTGTCCTAAGACAAGAACACATTTAAATCATTTGTTAATTTTTTTTCCTCATTAATGTACACATAGCACCCCATATTGACAGAAAAACACAGATTTGTTGACATTTTTGCAGATTTATTCAAAAAGAAAAACTGAAATATCACATGGTCTTAAGTATTCAGACCCTTTGCTGTGACTCTCATATATTTAACTCAGGTGCTGTCCATTTCTTCTGATCATCCTTGAGATGGTTCTACACCTTCATTTGAGTCCAGCTGTGTTTGATTATACTGATTGGACTTGATTAGGAAAGCCACACACCTGTCTATATAAGACCTTACAGCTCACAGTGCATGTCAGAGCAAATGAGAATCATGAGGTCAAAGGAACTGCCTGAAGAGCTCAGAGACAGAATTGTGGCAAGGCACAGATCTGGCCAAGGTTACAGAAAAATTTCTGCTGCACTTAAGGTTCCTAAGAGCACGGTGGCCTCCATAATCCTTAAATGGAAGACGTTTGGGACGACCAGAACCCTTCCTAGAGCTGGCCGTCCGGCCAAACTGAGCTATTGGGGGAGAAGAGCCTTGGTGAGAGAGGTAAAGAAGAACCCAAAGATCACTGTGGCTGAGCTCCAGAGATGCAGTCGGGGGATGGGAGAAAGTTGTAGAAAGTCAACCATCACTGCAGCCCTCCACCAGTTGGGGCTTTATGGCAGAGTGGCCCGACGGAAGCCTCTCCTCAGTGCAAGACACATGAAAGCCCGCATGGAGTTTGCTAAAAAACACCTGAAGGACTCCAAGATGGTGAGAAATAAGATTCTCTGGTCTGATGAGACCAAGATAGAACTTTTTGGCCTTAATTCTAAGCGGTATGTGTGGAGAAAACCAGGCACTGCTCATCACCTGTCCCAACAGTGAAGCATGGTGGTGGCATCATCATGCTGTGGGGGTGTTTTTCAGCTGCAGGGACAGGACGACTGGTTGCAATTGAGGGAAAGATGAATGCGGCCAAGTACAGGGATATTCTGGACGAAAACCTTCTCCAGAGTGTTCAGGACCTCAGACTGGGCCGAAGGTTTACCTTCCAACAAGACAATGACCCTAAGCACACAGCTAAAATAACGAAGGAGTGGCTTCACAACAACTCTGTGACTGTTCTTGAATGGCCCAGCCAGAGCCCTGACTTAAAGCCAATTGAGCATCTCTGGAGAGACCTAAAAATGGCTGTCCACCAACGTATACCTTCCAACCTGACAGAACTGGAGAGGATCTGCAAGGAGGAATGGCAGAGGGTCCCCAAATCCAGGTGTGAAAAACTTGTTGCATCTTTCCCAAAAAGACTCATGGCTGTATTAGATCAGAAGGGTGCTTCTACTAAATACTGAGCAATGGGTCTGAATACTTAGGACCATGTGATATTTCAGTTTTTCTTTTTTAATAAATCTGCAAAAATGTCAACAATTCTGTGTTTTTCTGTCAATATGGGGTGCTGTGTGTACATTAATGAGGAAAAAAAATTAACTTAAATGATTTTAGCAAATGGCTGCAATATAACAAAGAGTGAAAAATTTAAGGGTGTCTGAATACTTTCCGTACCCACTGTATATATATTCCACTCCGCGCTCTCACCGTCCACGGCTTTCTCCCTCGCGATGGGCGTTGCAGCCGGCTCAGGCACCTGGTCTGACGGCTTGGGCTCTACTTCTGGGGCGATCCTCCGCTCAGTTGCTCGGCATTGCGCTGGGTCGTAGATCGCGGCGGGAATTGGCTCTCCGTCATCGGTGGGCTCGGGCTTTAGCTCCGCACAGCGGGGAGATGGTGGGCTGGGCTCTGGTTCAAGAGTGGATCTGGCGAGATCATCCTCGGGAGTGACGGTGAGAGGCGATCCGTTTCTCGCCAGAATCCACTCCACAAACGCGGCAAAATCCACTCGAGGACCATCTTCGGACTACGGCGCTCTGCACGCGGTGTTTAAACTTGCGTCGTAGAACGCGCAGAGCGCGTCGTCGCTGGTGGTGTTAGCTAGCAGCTGGAACAGTCTAGTATTGTCCTCGAGCGATCGCTCCCCCTGCTCTAGCAGGAGGAGGAACTCCAGGCGGACGAGGGGATCCATAAGGGCACACAACGGTCTGGTCTTCTGTCACACTTACACTGTCGGAAGGACGAGAGAAACGTGGAGTACAATCAACAGTCTTTTAATCATCAAAAGACAGAGGTAATCCAATACAGGAACGAGATGCTGACACATGTAAAGACGAAGTAGACCCGACAGGGGAGAAACGCAAAGACAGGAGCTTAAATGCTAGGGATAATTGGAGAAACACAGGTGGATCACATATGACAATCATACTAAACGAGGACAGGAAAATGACCAAATAAGGACAAACTAGAACAGAAACAGGGGCAAAACACGATACAGACAGTCCAGAATCCTGACAATGCTAAAAGTGACTAATGAATTTGTGTCAAAATATCCTAGAGTTTAGTGAGATGTATGATCTTTGACATCAACCAAAATATGAAAAACATTTTCTCCTCCATGTTTAAAGATTTTATGCCTATGTTTTGCTTTCCTAACTATACACAATTAGCCTTTTATTATTTAGCCTTTTGTTATGTAGTATTGTTTTCCCCTGCTCTGTGTGAAACACCATTCTAATAATTTTATCCTCCTAAAACATTGAAGAAACACTGCGCTAGATCTTGTATTACCATTTCGCTGTGCAAAGTGACTAATGAAGTTGTCAAAATATCACAAAGATCATTTCACATTTTATTGTGCTGTTGTATGTACAGTAGCATTGTTTTTTCCTGCTCTGCGTGAAACACCATTCTAAATAATGCACTATTTATCAGATGTTTCAGCTGTATACATTTGTTTACTATGAAAAATTATAAACCGTTTAGGGTGTGACTGAAGTGATATTTTCAGTGTTATTTCAGTGCTATTTTCCAATGCTAGCTATACGATACTGACCTTTCTCTTACTCCAGTCAGGACTCACGCATGCAGCCCTGATACACACGGACGAAAGGGTGGATGCTCGCATATCTGTCTCCTGAGCCACAACTACAAATCACGTATGTGCCGCTGCCGGACCGGCCACGTCCTTGCCAGCGACGGGAAGTCATGCAAAAGTGAGGGTCACAAAAAACCAATCTCTCTTTTCTGTCTCTTCCTCCTGTAGCTCCCAGGTGTCTGATTAGCTCTGGGAGGCGGGTCTCTCATGTAAATGGGTTTAGGGGTATTCCCAATGGATGAGGTGCTGCTATCTGAAACCGTATATCAGATGGATGGCCCTCGTGGGTTTGTCAAAATGGAAATTTATGACCAAATTTGTGGAGCCGCAAGACGCTGAAAAATGGACACGTTTCTGTGATTAATAGTCGACGTTCAGCACATTAGGGCGGATTACATGGGAAATTTATATGTTTTGTCTCTTCACATCAGGATCATTGACTATCTAAGAATATGTGTGTGTGTTTGTGTGTGTAGGAAGACAGAAGATCTTAAAAGGAGTTTTTCTCAAAGTTCAGATGGTGAACTACTTATATGCAGTATATATTGCCTACAGTTTTATTTAGTGTACGAATTATGCTTAAGTTATACCTCGCGTCATAAAAATCAGTAGCCTTCACTTCGTAAATTTGCCATAGGAAAACTCTGGAGATTTGCATTATTTTCTATATCAGTCAACCAAATGTACAAAAAAATTCAGACTCTGGTGTAAGCATGCCCAAAATGATAATAATTTGTAAAATATTGTGAAATCGTAAGAAGAACATATAACCTAAACTAACTTAACCCTAACAATAGATCTAAACCCTTAACTATAAAAGCCTGTTTCTGCCACGTATTAAAAAAAAAAAAATAATAATAATAAGTAATTATGACTTTATCTCACAGTTAATTTATGACTTTGTTTCCCTATATTTAAAAAAAAAGAAAAAAAGTCAGAACTTAAAGATATAAACTCAGAATTTCATGCTGACTTTTTAAATTTGTATCTTGCCTTTTTTGTTCCATCACGGAATTAAAGATTAAAAAAGGTAATAGCGACTTTTTTCTCACAATTCTGACTTTTCTTACAGTTGCGAGTTTATATCTCACCATTCTATGAATGACTGTTTCCACCACTGAATAAAAAAGAAAAAAAGATAATTGTGACTTTTTATCTCACAATTCTGACTTTTTTCTCACAATTGTGAGTTTACATTTCGCATTAGAATTGTGAGATTTGAACTCGCAATTCTGAAAAATAAAGTCAGAACTGAGAGATATAAACTCATAATTCTGACTTTTTTTCCTCAGAATTGTAAGTTTATATCTCACAATTCTGAGAACATGTCAGTCTTATTTCCCCCTCAGAATTGGACTTTATGTGGACTTTATGACAGAATTGGCAATTGTGTTTATATCCTGCAATTCTGAGAAAAAAAGTCAAAATTGCAGTATGTAAACTCACAATTGCAAGAAAAAAAGTCAGAATTGTGAGATAAAAAGTCCCAATTATCTTTTTTATTTTTTATTCAGTGGTGGAAACGGGCTTCCATACAATTCTGAGTTTTTACCACAGTTCTTTTTCCCCTCAGAATTGCAAGAAAAAAGTCCGAATTGTGAGCTAAAAAATTGCAGTTGCATTTTTTTTTTGTTCTGTGGCAGAAAAAGCCTTTCATGCTTGACCCTAACCATGATTGCTACTTAAAGTTGTATCTTTTTGTATAAACTGATATTACAATTTGTCACCTTGTCTGAATTATTACAAGTTGTCAAGAGTGTGTTGGCGTGTCATTGGGTGACTTCCCACATTTACATCCATTGATACTATTAATCACTGCGATGTGTCATCCAGCTCTCAGAAATCATATATAATGATGTGCATCAAATGGGGGCATAAATGGTCTATTTTATAGTTGTTTAAAATGTGGCTCCTCCAATTGAGTTTTTTGTTTTTATCTCAAGTGTTACTCAATGTGAAGCTGTTTTTGAACTGAAGCCAGACTCGTCATTCATTCGTTATGAATGAGTTGAAGTACCATTCATTTGTAAATTATTTGATTCAGTGGATTATACAAGAACAGGACATGGTTATTTAAAGCAGTTCACACAAAAATTAAATTCCTGTCTCTCTTTGCCTCATGGAAGTCAATAACATTGTGCGTCATTCATTCTCACATCTTGCGAACAAACTTTATGAAATAAAACTTGAGAGCAATGGAATGGCATATGCTCGAGAGTCAATAATGGCTCAAATTCCTCTCACAAAGGAATCGTTTGGCCTCAGAATCAAAGTTCAAAAGCACACAATTGTTCTTGTTGGGTTCCTCTATCCCTTCATCCTGGTTTCTTCCTCTTGTCTCTTTGGATCTCACTGGATCTCGGACCTAATAATAATTACAATCATCCTCTCCACTGCAGCCTGTAAGTAATGACTTTCGAAAACATTGTGCTTCATATGAACGTGTCCCTCTCTTTGCTGCCCCCACTTAGGACCCTGTTTGTCCCCAGTTACTTCTACACACACACACACACTCAGATACAATTACAAACACAATGTAACTGTTATGCACCAAAAGATGATTGATTCTATAGAATCGAATCAGTGGAACTAATTCTGGTTTTAATTAAGCTAATGCAATTAGCTTGAGCCTCTCGCTTTGGATACATTTTTGTCAAAGGCTTTAATTTGCAGAACTGAATTGAAAACGGACGCTAATTATGTCAATTAATTAAGCTCTGACAGTACTTTGGCAGAAGGCTTATTACGTTACGCCACTGCGTTTGTTTACTTTGGGTTATCGTGTATTCGCAGAACCAAAGAATGAGCTGTTCCTGTTTTACGGAAAAGGACGGCCCGGGGTTATCAGAGGTCTGGATATGAATATCAAGTCTGGAGATGAACATTTGATTCAAATCGAAGGGCTCGTGAGTCCCAGAGCGTTGGATTTCCATGCAGAGAGTAGCTACATCTACTTTGCCGACACCACGAGCTTCCTAATTGGACGACAGAAGATTGACGGAACCGCTCGGGAAACGATCCTTAAGGACGGTATGTTTACTGTGACTTCTCAGAGATTAATGTTGGCTTTTGTGTAATTCTGTTGAGCCGTACCGCAGTTTTATTGCGTAAAAAGCTCTTAAATATTCTCTAACAAACTCATTTTCGCTTTAGCTCGGTGATGAATCATCTGTGCAACCATGCGGCGTGGTACGGTAGAATCAGGCCACCTGTACTTGAGCAATTCTGTTGCCGTTGTTTTCCAAATGGGAAGTTATTTATCATACATTTTGTGCAATTCAGTCGTCGGGGAAGCTCGCCGGTCGATACCGCATAATTTCACTGGGAAGAATTAGAGGAGGACAGTGATTAATTGAGCTGTCTTTGATGTTATCAAGCTAAAAGAACAACATTTTCTCAATTTCTTTTTTCTTTCTCCAGAGCTGGATAATGTTGAGGGTATTTCGTTGGACTGGATAGGTAATAACCTGTTCTGGACAAATGACGGTTATAGAAAGACCATCAGCGTGGCCGGGCTGGACCGGCCCTCGCAGACCAGGAGAACGCTTTTAGAAGGCAATATGTCTCATCCCAGGGCCATTGTTGTGGATCCTCTAAATGGGTAAGCCTATGATACCTTTCCTGCTTACAGAAGCATTTAAAAGATTCTTCTGCAGGGATTTCAGTCTGTTAAAGCCTTGGACGAAATCCAGCCATTTAGAGCACACTGGGGGCGGGATGTTTGCCCTTTGCGCTTAGAGATTTCATCAAGAAATTTCGACAACCCTGTGCTTCCTCTGGTTTCATTAACAAAAAGCACTGTGGTGGTATTAGATGACAATACCATGGTACTTTAATACATGTTATGGTGCTGCACTACCACTATATTTACATACATTGAACTCCAAGCTATTAATATAATTATGTCTAAAGAAAAAATGGTAATACTATAGTACTTGATATACTGAATCATTACCATTTTCATATACTGTGGTTTGCCTTGGTGCATTTGCAGTGCTGGGTAGATTACTTACAAATTGTAGTCCATTACTGATTACAAATTACATGACAAAAACTGTAATTTGTAACATAATATTGCTTACATACATAATTCTTGATACAGGTAATGTAGTCTGACTACTTATTAATTACTTGTAGATTACTTTTGATTTAACTAATTTATCACATAGACTTGAACAGGATTATTGTGTTCTATGTTTATAAAACAAAACAATAAAAAAAAAACAAAGGGAAAGAAAATATATTCCATTCTTTGTCATCAACATGATGAAATGCATTAAACATTACAGTAGAGCAGGGTTTCCCAAACTGTATGTAAGTGGTAGGTTTATTTAGAAAGGGGGGAAAAATTGTGGTGAGTCAATAAATTATGAATAATTTACTGCCATTGTGTGAATAATATGTAATCATGTAATCCATAAAAAGTAACCGTAATCTGATTATGAGCATTTTAAAATGTAATATACTCTAATTACAAGTACTTAATTTTTAGAATCTGATTACGTAATCCAGATTACATGTAATGAGTTACTTCCAGTCACTGTACATTGGCCAAGAAGTCATGGAATGGCATGATAGTATCATGCTACTTTAATGTATTATGCTACTGTCTATTATTACTGTATATACTTTGAATTGCAAGTTAATATGCTACAGTATGTGTCTAAAAATTTTAATACTGTGGTACCTGGTATATGCTAATGTATTTAATGCATACCATGGTAGATATCAAAGAAACCATGGTATTATGATGGTAAATGTCCAGCATAAAAACATACTTTAGTACTTCAAAGACTACCATGGCATTATCATGTTACAGGTCCAAAAACATAATATTACAATGATATGTAAATTATTACTATAGTATGTAGGAAATAATAAACTCAAAACACTGATAATGACAAAAATAACGTCTCAGGTTGCATATGTAACCATGGTTCCTCGAGGGAACGAGACGCTGCGTTGGAGGACGCTTCGGGAACGCCCTTCAGCGTGACCGGCTCTGAACCTCTTGTGTAATCAGTCCAATAGATGGGCGAGACGTCACGGGCGGGTGACGTAATGACCAGGAAGCTATAAAAGCACGTGCGGTGAGACCAGCGTCAGCTTCTAGGAGTGAAGCAAGCGCTGGCAGAGATGCCGAAAGTATGGCCCCGAGACGCAGCGTCTCGTTCCCTCGAGGAACCATGGTTACATACGGCTAAAGCAGCTAGCTCGGTGCCCTGAAGCGGCGGACCGGCAGGGGATGACCGTCCTAGCTGCTCTAGAGACCTCCGTAGAGGTAGCGAGCCTCTTAGTACTGCTACGTTTCCGGGCGGTAACTGAGAGAAGCGCTCGCCGGAGACCGCTGCGCCCTGGAACACCGGCAGGGTTGGCAGACCGATCTCCTGAAGGCACTGAGGAGAGACGGGCACCGTGTAATGCGGTGTACACCGCTCTTCCCCAGAGGGAGCTGGCCCTCAAAAAGTCCTAGGCCTTAGGCGTCAAGACGTTTACGACGAAGACTATCCAGCGAGAATGACGGTCCGCAGAACCGCCCTCCGCTAGAAGCCTTCGGCCTGGGAGCGCCACTCTGAATCTAGACTCTGTGAAGTACGAGAAGTGAGGACCCCAGAATGAGGGGCTGGAACACGGTAGGTTGGGAGTGCTCCCACCCAGCAGCCCCTGCTGACCGCCTCAACCTCCTCAGAGGAAGAGAGGTAAACACGTGCTCTCACTCGAGAAAATTTATTTATTTATTTTTTCCCAAGTGCCCCTGCAGAGCGCTTGCTGAATGACAAAAAGCTGACACTGGTCTCACCGCACGTGCTTTTATAGCTTCCTGGTCATTACGTCACCCACCCGTGACGTCTCGCCCATTGGACTGATTCCCCTGCAGAGCGCTTGCTGAATGACAAAAAGCTGATGCTGGTCTCACTGCACGTGCTTTTATAGCTTCCTGGTCATTACGTCACCCACCCGTGACGTCTCGCCCATCTATTGGACTGATTACACAAGAGGTTCAGAGCCGGTCACGCTGAAGGGCGTTCCCGAAGCGTCCTCCGACATAGCTCGAGTTCCTGAAGAGGAACATAGTATTTTTCAAAGTACCTTGGAATATACCAAATACTATGGTACCTAAATTTCAGAAGCATGGTGTATTTCAAACTATTATAGTATTACCGTCTGAATGCCATCTATATAAAAACAATGTAAAACCATGGCACTTTGATATGTAGCACTGAATAATTATAACACAATTCTGAAGAATACCATGGAATTACCATAGTACACATCCAAGAATTATATGATGGTAAATGTTAAAAGAAAAAGAAAATCTATTACCATAGCTCCAAAAAACATGGTACTATACCATGATTATACTTACATTCCTTAGAGTTACAAAACACTTTTATTCAATAATATTGTTAATTTAAATCTAAGACAGGAAGTAGCAGAAGCAGATGTACTATTGTGTCAAAAGGAGCTAATGCGAACATCCTCATTCGATGTCATTGCTCAGATGGAAAGGCTTAAAGGGAATATGGAGAGACTCCATGACTGCAAATCTCTGCCTTGGCAGAACGGTGAAGCCTGACATAAGAGGTTTAAAAGTTTAAAGGCAGGTTCCAGTTTCTGCTTATATTTTAGTGACTTCTTTCCATGTGCTGTACACTTGACATGTTTATCCTCGTAATGGGTTTCTGGATTGGGTTGTCAGTTTTTAATAGCTTCGGTGTCTTGGAATTTCAGATAATTTAGTTGCAAATAAGACCTGGAGTCTTTGGAATAATTACCAGTAATCAGGTTTAATCTGCAATTAATCTGTGATTGTGTTACTAGAAATTGGTTTAAAATTTCATACAGTCTAAGTTTTTTTTAACTTTGGATCACCGCTTAAGCTTTAGCTGCCAGTATGCTGAATATCAGTACCTATCCCAGCTTAATCTCTCCCCTTTTAAATCCCATTTCCTTCTCTAAAAACTGTCCTTTACCGTGTCTGTCCTTCCGTATCCCATGTACGCATGTCATTTCCTGTCTGTGCTAACATGATAAGATTGAGGATTAGCTGTTATGACTCTAGGCCCTGATCGCATTTGCTCTCCATCTCCATCACTCGCCTGGTTTGCCTGTTCACAGCAGGTGCTGTCACTCAAAGCCCTGTCTCATGAATTATTCAACAGGTCACTGAATATGAGTGGGGGGAGTCAATTCCCTCTGTCATGTTATGTTAGGCTGCGTTCAAATGCACAAGACCGTGTCACAGTGTTAAGTTTATGTTGTGAAATGTGAGTGATTTGAACTTGGAAAAAAAGGACCTTGTACAAGGTGCAGAACAAAACGTTTTGGCTTCCAAATAAATCATGAATTCATAAAAACATCCAATTGTTCAAGCCTATTTTTTAGATGGTTAGGTGTAGATATTGTACTCAATTCTTTTGAATGATTATTTTACAGTGAGCTGTCTTTAAGAAGGCACATTTAAGCAAACCCAGGGCCAGTTGCATAAATATAGCCAGTATGTTACTTTTTGGATTCAAATAAGACAAATCTACCTTTTTGTAACTGACTTTTAAACTCCGCATTCCAAAATCCAATTTGACCAACTTGAACTGGTACAGCCAGCTAGTAACTGGTTTGTTCTTGGTCCAAGATGGTCTACCAGCTTACGACCAGCTTGGAAAAGCTAGAAACCAGCAACAATAATCAAACACACCTGAAAAATCTAACCAAAGTCTTGAAGATTACATGAAGGCATTTTTGATTAGGGTTCGTGCTAAACTTTGTAGGACAGTAGATCTCCAAGGCCAGAGTTTCCCACCCCTGAGACACCAGAACAACGCCTATCTGTATTAAACCATCTAGAGCAGAATGGAAATTCATTCTGGTCTAAGCTGGTCCTCTTCAGCAGGGTGTCATGATCTTAAAGATATAATTTCTCACTTGGTTTCTTAGATGGATGTATTGGACGGACTGGGAGGAGGATGAGTTAATTGACAGCAGAGGAAGGATAGAGAAGGCCTGGATGGATGGATCTCACCGTCAGATCTTCGTCACATCCAACATGCTGTGGCCTAACGGCCTCACTCTGGACCACTCCTCCAGCGTCATGTACTGGTGTGACGCCTACTATGACCACATTGAGAAAATCTACCTCAACGGCAGCCACAGAACGGTTAGTAAATGAGTGAGTTGTTTCTTTAGTTCTCAGACACCTCCGTTTCCTCTCTATGTTCATCTCAACATTTCCCTGTGACTCACAGACCTGATCTACTTTTCACAGGTGGTGTACAGCGGGAAAGAGTTGAATCATCCATTTGGGATTGCGCATTACCAGAATTACATATTCTGGACGGATTACATGAACGCCTCGATATTCCGTCTGGATTTGTCATCCAATGATGTTGCCCTAATGCGGGCTGAAAGACCACCTCTCTTCGGGATTCAGGTGTATGACCCGCAGAGCCAGAAAGGTAAATATGAATATGTATGCTGTAGATTTTAAGCCATAATGAATTCTTGAAATCTTGCCAAGGGCTGCAATGATATAGAAGGACTTTGATGTCTAGCTATTGACTGTCTTCCAGAAACTCTAAGATTTAAATCGCCCGAGTTCTGAGGGGTCTGATTCTTTATATATCATCATCCCATAGCTTTGCCTAGAGGCCAAATCCTGTGTTGGCACACACTTGGCATACCGTACGATATATGGAAATGAAATATATTGGCCCATATGCGTTCACCTTTTAAACAGCTGAACATTCTAGAAACTAATGCCACACCGGAAAGTCCCTGAATTTGAATAAATGCTTTGCAACGGATATTCCCCGAGAAGGATACTTAATGGTAATTTTAACCTTAAGACTTCATGATCCAAGCATTTTTGAGGCCCAGATCAAATAAGCCTAACTTCTCTCATATTTTAAAGGATAATTTGGAGGCATTTGCAGGAAATTTGTATGATTTGTCATTCTGAGGTTCTGGATCCAGATCTCCACTTATGTCTCCAGTGACAAGCAATTGTTCTGAGGAACTGGGCAGTTTTTTGGCGCCTATACTCAGCTTTGTGACATTTTTCTCCATCACCCTGCTGTGCAGAAATGGGTACATCAAAATTTCAGGGGAATTTACAAAGACAGAATTACGCCACTGGTGCTGACTTTTGCACACATTTTCTTTTACTAAACAACTATATTTGGTGGCTTAACTTGTTCTGGATGGGATAAAATGGCTTTGATCAAAACTGTTTTCTTAGTTGTACACGTCATAGGTGCTGTGACCTAGTAAGGTGACAGAGGGTGATGATGAATGTTCATTTTGGTCTACAATTTTTGCTCAAGGTTAATCGCTGTGGCGGTTCCTGTAGAGTTACTCATATGTTGCATCTGGTAGAGATGTCATTCTTAATGACAGCCAGCCAATGGCAGGCCAGGATTGACCCAACTATTTCAGGTAAAGTAGGAATGTGACTAAAAATAGTATTGAAACCTGCGCTTAAATCATTCTCAAACTTCAATGACCCACTAAACAAAAAGACAAACTAAGGTATAGCAACGCTCCAGTTTAAATATCCACAAATGGGTCTCAAAAAGGTATCCAAATGGAACTTCAATGGATAATGAAGGTGTTGGAAACTTTTCCAAGGTGGTCGATGGTTGTAATTCATATGCTGTTGTTCTTAACAAACAGCTTGAAAATCATGTTTACGCTATGCTACTGATGTTGACCAGATGTTCAGTGCATCATTTCGGCACCTGTGATTAAAGCTATTGGCAGCTGTAAGCACCTGTCAGTGTGCAACATAGGGGGTCTGAAACACTGTGGGGGACGGCACTGCCCACTGAAGCACTCAACATTGGATAGTGAATTCACACGCTAAGCTAATGCAGCCAAGTGGAATTGTGCTGAATATATAACAACCTGCTAGTGCATTTAGCTTTTAGTGGAAATGACAAGCCTTTGTTTATTAAATCTAAACTTTACTAAACATGTCTGGCTGTTGTATCATACCTTGTACAACATTTGTATGTAATTTTGGATTTGATAATTAGCATGCACTGTTTAACTCTTTCTTGAGGTGTCACTCAAGCTATGATATAACAATGCTAAGTGCATGTTACAAGCATATCAGATAAGCAAATGGTCTAATGTTCTCTATTTATAATTTTACAAGCTTCACTTAGCTTTGTTCAGGAGTTGAGTTAGAATTGTTGTCGCGTTATGCTACATTAGCTTGCTATGACTCATTTTTTTGCCTGACTTGACAATTGAGAGTGAGCTGTGTATCATTTGCTCAGAACTGTTGTTCTATGAAATGGTCAGTGGTTTCAGTTTACAGTCTCATATTCACATAAAACGTTTAGCGTTTCCCTCAGGAAATGATATAGATGTCTGAACGGTTTTGTCTTTTTCTGTAAATACATTATGGAGCCAAAAAAAGAGACTTTTTTATATATGCTATGTGACTATCAGCTTCTCCTCCTAAAATTACATTAAAATGCAACAATGCCATGCTTATCTATGTACAAATGATTTGTATATATGATAATTTGCACTCATGGTGCATTATGATATTTGAACGACTAAAAGCGAAAAGCACTGTTTGTTCAATTAACGTGATCAGATTTAATCTGCATTAATCTCTGCAGATGATTCAGTGGACACATGTTCCGTAGAGTCCAATTGATGCCATTCTTCACTGGGAGTCTATGCCAGATACTTGCATCATTGATTTTAATGGAGCAAAGATCAATATTCATTGGACAAGAGGCTCTGAGCATGGCATTTCATGTCCTCTCCGGATGCTGGGCTTCACTGGGAGAGCTATTTGCATTGGAAAAAGCATTTCTTTGTTCATTCGGAGTGCTTGGACATGCTGTTAGTTGAAGTCTGTGGTAACGCATTTAGTTTAACGCTCATGATTTTGTTCCTTGCGAGCTTGTGTAGAGTAATAAAACACTACAAAAATATGAGCCGATGTCGTTAACGTAACTTGTTCAAATGATTTTAGTAAATCTAAAGATGGTTCACATAAAAGAACTGGCTCAAGTAAATGATTCACTGATTCACTTGAGTTAAGTGCAGCCACATTTAGTGATGGGCGCTTTTGAAGCACTGCTTTGTGAAGCTTCGAAACCTTTGTGAATAATTGTTTCGAAACAGTGGTTCGGCGCACGTATCAAACTGCCAAATTTAGGGGATTTCAGTAAACGAGGCTTTGTTACATCATAACTGTTTCGCAACATTTCGAAATTTCAATGGTTTGCCGTTGGGTTATGCAAATCATGCGAGTTAATTGAGATAGCCCTACAGTGGCGAGCCATTGAACCAGCGTCTATGGTTTTTACCTGATCTCAGATCACTTTTATCAATTTGTAGACATTTTTATTGAGATATTTGTGTAATTAAAAGGATGAGTAGTAGTTTATAGTCTCTTACTGGCCTGTTTAGATAAGCTATCCATAAAACAAAAACAAACAAACAACCCCCCCCCCC